TCTACGAAGTCCGAGGCGTGTGTGAGTCCAGTGAGAACCCACCAGCTCCAAGTTCAAGATGCAGGTAGGAATTGGTTTAATTCTGGTTGATCACGACTCCTTGCATAGGAAAGTGAGCATGCTTATGAATAGCAGTCGGTAGTACGAACCATTTTCCCAGCAAAGGGACGACAGGGGACAATGGACCAAGTTTCAGAATCGCCCAAGGGGGATCAAACGGCCACCGCCTTTTAGATAGACGTCGGGGTCAGTTCCCGTTGGTTCGGTTTAGTGAAGGCATTTTCGTCCTGGGCAACAAGAGGCGGGATGAGGTGGGCTGCCGGGATAATGCATTTTCCCCAAGTGCCCCGTCCCGTCTTTCGTCCTTCCAAGGTCATCGGCGCCTACGGGAGAAGTGTGGCCTTAAGCTCCCCGCTAACCGTCTGTCAGACGGTGAAAGATCGGTGGTTCCTGCTTCGCCCACCTGTCCACGGACCTATCCGAGTCTTCACCATTCCAAGCCATCGTGGTTATCAGTCTGAATCCGAGTTACTTCTTGCGATGCCGAGGTACTTTACAACCGAAAAGGAAAGGACATGGCACGACGAACAAGAAGGTTCGTGGCGTTTCGCACAACGATGAAAGGAAACAGAAGAAACGGAGATCGGAGTGGCTGGAGAATAAATAGCAATGACGCTAGAACTTCCCCCCACAACTATTATAGTCTCCCTGCGAAATCCGACGCTGATAATATTATTCATGCGGAGTATAACCTGGACTGTGAATGGACCAGGCCCTAGAGGAAGCACCAAAGTGCTGCTAGGCGACATTGGTGCTCTCTGCGTGTGTGCTTTGTCCCCGAAGTGTCGGTAGGAAGATGGTACCGTGGTTCATGGATAAGCGATAAAAGATCAGTGTACTTCGTACTCGTTGGTGAAAATCGCCAACCTTCGAGCCGGGATTCCCCTTCTGACCTTCTACTGTTATTGAGAAGGAGCCTCGACTCAACTTCGTTCACGCCATACCTCCCTCTTAATAGTCCAAGAAGAAACCGCAAGAGAGGGCTGTTAAGGGTTACTCCTGTTGTTGTCGATTGAATTATTGGCAGAGAAGCTCGGGAATAAAAGCTTGGCACTCTTCGTTGTTCTTTGCTGTCTGATGTCGTGGTTGGCGGAGGGGCACGGTACGCAAGTAAACTACATTTGGGAGGGAGGTGTGTGTGAGACTGCGAGTACGAAGGACGAAGTACCTCAGTCCAACCAGAAAATGAGATCAGAAACATTTTGTGGGTGGTCGTGGAGTTTGTACTCCTACGCACACCCACCGACTTCATGCGACTGGTTTGGTGCCTTAGCGCCATTCTGAAGCATTGCACCAGGGGCGTTTCAAAATTTCAGGGATTGGTGGCTGTCACGGCGCGGGGTTATGACCAGCAATCCGTGCTTAATTCGTGCTTCGTACTCTGGAGCGAAGATATACGAGGGAGATGGAGAAGAGAGATGCAAGCAGACCCAAGAGAAGGGAGGTGGTGTCAACCTAATGTTATTACTATTGCTTTGTACGAAGTAGTTTCCGTTGGATCACTGTGGTATAACTCATTACGATCTATCCACCCATCCATCCATCCATCGATCTTAACAACATCAGTCAGGGGGCACAGCCAAACAGGCTTCGGGGATGCGAGTTAACCACGCAGACTTGGGTGGAAAGGATATTTGCTGAAGAATAGTACGAAGTAGGAGTCCATGACAAGAGTAGCATCTGGCTATGGTTAGGAGACGGCGATAGAATGAAATGGCAAAGAGGGTAGTATCGATACTTTCGCGAGATGGGAAAAAAAAAGAAAATGAAAAAAACAGCAGACCGGTTCCAGGTACAATGAAGTATCGAAAAGTACAACTAGGGTTATCCGCTCTGACTTTATCAGGTTGAGAACTTAGATATACTTTGTACGAGGAGGGTTGCAACACTCTGACATCCAGGTGTCATTGATCATGGCTGCCAAGACCTCCCTGCTCGTACATCGAGTCCGCCCCAAAAAGTAATTTCGATCATGCGTGACACGGACGACTTCGTACTCCTTTTTTTTTTTTTTTTTTTTTTTTTTTTTTTTTGGTGTATATGCTTGTAAGTTGTACCCCCTCTGGCCGGCCGTGAAGGTGTTTGGGCTCTGGTCAGGTGCATCTGGGAGTACGAAGCGGTGGTGTCCGTGATGTGTGCCTTGCAGGTCTCGCCAAACCGCATGAATGGATACGGTCAATGGAGAAACAGTGTACGATGTGCTTCGTAGAATGGGTGGATGACGACTGTATGGTGCTTCACATGGTCTGGGGTGCTGAAATCCATCCCTTGACAGACGGGGATTTTCAACTTCATGAGAAGGCAAAAAGCAAGAATGACCGAAAATACTAGTAATTAAACCATCGAAATGCGACAGTTACACTCGGTTACTGCCTGTCTCTCCCTTCAGGGAAGGGAATTCTAGCTGTCAACACACAAGTACTTCGTACTTCAAACTTGGTACGAAGTACATTGAGAGAGATTGATCGAAGCATTGGAAGATCTGCCTGTACTTCGCGAGAAGTAATTCTGCCATCAAGACGGAGGAACAGGAATACTTGTACATTGATAGATGAAGTATTAATAGCAAGTCCGTCCCCTACACTACTTAGTCAAATTGGAAAGATCGCCCAAGTTACTGTTGTCGCACAGGCTCACTGACCTGCGAGAGTTGATTTGGACAGGGTTCCAGGCCATGCCCTTTCCCTGCACAGTATTGACAAGTCTGCTACTGTACACCCCTTCGTACTTGGAAGCAAGATTTGATCAATTTGCTGAATTCTTCTGTAGCGCTTCCGATGACGATTCATCAAATCGTGAGGCATGGCGTTGATGATCGCGAATCGCCTGCTGCTAAAGTTAGAATCTAGCGACCATTCTAAGCCAATGTGCTATTTCTAACCTCTTTCCCGAATCCTATACCTTCTTGGGCGGTTAGACCCAAGTTCATGCATTCTCTCAACCAGTCGCTCTTTCTGGGTAGGGAATGCACTGTCCTGGCTGTCCTTGTGTACAATGCACACTGTACGGAGAATGGCCCCATAACACTAGACGCCATGTCGAAAATGGAATGTGATTTGTGCAAGCGTGGATTTAAGCGTGGCATTTGGTCTTGGTTAACGGAACGGTGTCGGTTGGCTCTCTGTTTCCGAAATAGAACCTAACTTGGAGAACGAATCAGGCGTACTTCGTACTGTCCACACAGTGCGCGAAGACAGCGAAGAAACAAATCGACTTCGTAGCCAGCAGAGTCCGCGTTCGGGTCGCCTACGGCTCACCCACGTCGCTCACCCGAACGGCGTGGTCTGGATCTCGATCTCGAAGAGTGAGACTTTATGTCTTCCTGCTCTTCTTGGGTTGATGATTGAGAAGAGAAAGTATCAATAATCCGTCAACTTCCCATATACTGGGTGGTAATAGGTGTCGAACCCTTGTGTCATCCGTCCATTCCACAGATCTGCCTGACTGGAAAAAATAATTGAAAATTGAGACCATCTCACAACAACCACACTCTCACTCTGTAGACAGCCTTGCGCACTTCGGACGAGACCTTAACTCTGGTGAAGTGGCTCAACGAAGTAAGTCTGCTTATCCTCTCAACTTGCCAAATGCCGGGAGACTAGGACCATTCATGTGCACTGCGTTGTGGGCCTGGGTGTACGAAGTACTCCGATTTTTTTTCCCTTTATTTTCTTTTCTTTTCTTTTCCTTCTTTCTTTTTCGCCCACCTACAAATTGGCCGAAGTCACTGCACTCCACTCCCACTCCTCACCAGACCGATTCAACTGGCAGGTGCCTTTGGTCGCGACCGAAGGGTACCTCTCCTGGCGGCGCTTTCCCTTTCGCTCCGTTCTTCGTACACCCCGAATTGCTATACACACCCCTCCCAACACACAAACCCACGCCCCACAGCGCCCCACAGCGCGATTCCCACGATTCCACTCTTTCCCTTCCCACCTCTCGAATTCCCCCCTTGGCCTTTTATCCTCCATCCTTTCACACCAGGGACGCAGCTCGGCCTCTCTTCCCTTCGATGTCGCTCTCCCCTCCCCCATGTCCGTCTGTTGAAAATCATTAAACCCCAGGTCGTCCGCCATTCTCAAACTCTTCTGAAATCTCTCTTTCTTGTCTCAAATCTCCCCTTCCCCAGGTCTCCTTCGACTCCCCCCTTTTTGCCCCCCATTTCCTTTTTGCTCTCCCCCCTGGCCCTTGGTGCCGCGCCTCGTCAGCCAGAGCCTGATCGTTTCTTCCCATCGCTTTCCTGCCCCGGGGCACATCGGTTCTCTCGCTCTCCGTCTCATCAGTATCTCAGACATTGTTCGTCGCATGCTTGCTCATCACTACTGAGTAGTTATTGCAACGAACCTGGCTGTGTAATTGATCAACTGTACACAGGACTGTTGCCATCAGGTTTTGTCTATTACACTTTCGTTTCTATAAACATTTTTTAATTCATTCGATCGATTGTTTCGTGTCTTGTGGGCCGCATCGACAGCGATCCCGCCAAATCCCAACGTCCATCATCCTCTCGCGACGGGTCGAAGCTTGCCCATTTGCTTGACGCAGGCTAGCATCGCTCTTGAACATTTTATTGTTGTCGCCCGGGCTGGCCTCGAGTTTATATTTTATTGCCTTTTTTTTTTTTTTTTTTTTCCCTTTTTTCCTCGTCCTCGTCCCTGTCACGAATCTCTGAGAGTTTTATTCGGCGACATCATTGTCATTCATCAGGCCCAGGCAGCGCCTGCACTCCTTCCACACCGCTACGGTAACCATTTTCATTAACACGTCTCCTTTCCTACGTCGATTTTCGGTCGTTTCCTCATATCGGACGGCCCTTACGTCCTCCCTTCTTCTCCCTCAAAGCCTCCGGTTGCCCCACGGCATAGTGCGCATGAGAGAGCTGTTGCGAGCTGTACCATCTCCATCCTCTTGAGCCCCTCATGTACTCGCAGAATGCAGCAATGGCTGCTCCTCAGAAGCCCGAAACTTTCATGCTGAGCACCGAGGCTCAACAAGCGCTCCCTCATGATGCCCAAGTCGCTCTTCAACAAGTGGACAATCGTAAGTTGCTTCTCCCTGAACAAACCAAACCGAACCCCAAAGACGATTATCACCTAACTCTCCCAAAAGTGAAATATTTCCTTCTCTCGGCGCCTGTAGATTGGCAACCCGATCAATATATCCGCCGCTTCTTGCTCCCCACCGGCGAGTACGTCTCTTGTGTTCTCTGGAACAATCTTTTCCACATCTCCGGCACCGATATTGTGCGATGCCTGTCCTTCAGGTTCCAAGCTTTCGGACGACCGGTAAAGAACCCCAAGAAGTTCGAAGAGGGTATCTTTTCCGATCTCAGAAACCTAAAGTCGGGCACCGATGCCTCCCTCGAGGAACCGAAGAGCCCTTTTCTCGACTTCCTTTACAAGAACAACTGCATCCGAACGCAGAAGAAGCAGAAGGTCTTTTATTGGTACAGCGTCCCTCATGATCGCCTCTTCCTTGACGCTTTGGAGCGTGACTTGAAGCGTGAGAAGATGGGACAAGAAGCCACCACGGTTGCTGTTAGCGAGCCGGCGCTGTCGTTCCAGTACGATTCGTCTCAGTCGCTCTACGAGCAGCTGACCAAAGCCCAACAAGCCAATTCTTCTTCCTTCAACGCGCAGCAGGTAAATTTTTCCCAAGCGCAGGCAACCTCCCCGGTAATGAGGGCCATGGACTCGATGCCCCCTCCCCAGATGATACCCCAGCCCGTTGCCCCTTTAGTGGATGGGATGGACGCCATGGCAGCTTACGGAACGATGGCCATGGGTCCAGTGATGAATCAGCAGGTGATCAAAAGGGAGCCTGATATGAACCGGGTGCAGTACAATCAGAATGGCGTCCCCGTTGCGCAAGCCCACCAGCGACATGCTTCTATGCCCGCATACGGCCTGGAATACTCGCCCGCGCCATCCTTTGTATCCTCCCATTATGAGGATTACAGCAACCGGGGTATTTCTTTCGAGCCCATGACCCCACCTCAACAAGCGCTGGCTATCAGTGCTGAGCCCGCCTATATTGCCAACGAAGAAACCGGGCTCTATACCGCCATCCCGGATCACCTGGCAGGTGTAAATGGCCTTGGCGGCATGATTCAACTTCCGCCCTCGAATCTGGCTGGCAGCCAGTTCCCCCGTGCATACGGAACCAACAACGTCTATTCTGTCATCGAAGGCTCGCCAACATACAAGCAGAGGAGAAGGCGCTCTTCAATCCCCCCTTCCATGTCAGCTATGGCTGCCGCCACGGGCATGCCGACGGCTGTTGCGCCGCCTAACCACCGACCCTCCGATCTTCGAAGGTCAGTCTCAGCGTCTGTCGGTCCGGTTCCCGAGGGCGAGGAGTCCGCGGATAACTCTCCCCCCGGCTTGACCTACAGCACCATGTCAATCAGCAGCCAGCAGCACAATCTCGAGCTCTCGCGTCACGGAACGCCTCTTTCCACCGTTGAGGGAAGCCCGGCTCTCAACCCCATGTCTCTTCAGCAAGACTTTAGCCAACTGGCGGGCGAGGAGCTTCCAGGTGACGTCAGTGTGAAGGCAATGCATGCCCATGCCGCCCCCAGCGGTGTTGTTCGTCGCGCCCGGTCCGCCACGGTGATGGAACTGGGCCCTTATCCCCAGAAGTCGCATTCCTGCCCAATTCCCACGTGCGGACGCCTTTTCAAGCGGCTCGAACATCTTAAGCGGTAAGAATTCGAACTTGATTTTCATTTGTGTCAACTTTCCTCTCTGCCACCTGCCGTGAAATCTGACCATAAATTCCAGACATGTGAGAACACATACACAAGAAAGACCCTACATCTGCCCACATTGTAGCAAGGCGTTCTCCAGATCAGACAACCTAGCACAGTATGCCTCCCTTCTTTCTCTTGTCTCGTTTCTTTTGTCACTTTCATTTGTCTCCGTTTGGGTGATGTCACTGCGATTACGGCAAACCCTGGTGCGCAGTTATACGAAGTGGAACCCAACCTACCGTGTCGCCCACTGCCGTCCACAGCACCTTTTATACTCGCACGGTTGTGTTGCTGCGCGGGGGATGACTATGAAGGACTGGTTTATCTTGGGAAGATGAACGTGGACTGACATGATTTTGGCCTATTAGGCACAAGAGGACCCATGATCGACCAGAGGGTACCGCCGAGGGATCTGCGTATAACCTTTCTGGCGAGGAAGAAGAAGAGTACTCGGGCGAAGACCAATTGGGCTCTGTCGAGGAGGCTTCTCCCACGTCGGAAAATGCGTATGTGCCCGCGTCACTTAATGCTGTCGCGAACGGAGCGACGTCTGGCTCGAACGGAGTTGCGCCTGCGGCTAGTATGCCCCCAACTTCTGCATACAACAGCCTTCAAACGCTCAGTATGCCGATGACGATGAGCACGCCCCAGTCCATCAATGCTGGCGGTATGATGTGAGGTGCAGTTGTGGCTTCTATTCAGTTTCTCTCTGATTCCCCTTTTCTTCTTTTCTTCTTTTTCAATGAGTTGGGGGAAGGCATCTATCTCATTGGGCACGAGCTTGGCGTTTCCGTTTTCTTGGGGCTTCTACGGCTCTTTCTTCCTGTTTGTTTTCTACCCATTTTTGCTGGAACCATCCTTTGTTTTTTTTCCTCCTTTATTTTTTCTCTTTTCTCTTCTTTTTTTATCCTACCTTTTTTTGCTTTTATACCTGCCATTTTTTTTCTTCGTATGTCGAGCCAACGTTGAAGGTGGAATATTGTAAGCTTTGGCTCATAGAAGGGGAGGGGTCTTTGGGTTCGAAAAATGGAAACGGTGCTACGTTGAAGGGGAAATTCAGGAGGACAATCCCACCATTCATGACAAATGGCATATTGCCAACCCATATCCACTGTACATATATTATATATATTGTTTCATGATTTTTCGTTGCCTATTAGGCTTGGTGAGACGAGCTCGGTTGGCTTGGACATCGACTTCAGCGTTGCACCTTCGTCAAGACATTGGCGTCATTTACAGTATGTATGCCGCGGATTGTGCGTCTTTATACGCCGGCATTTGCCTGCTTCATGTGACGCTCCCATGTCGAGACATGGCCCGCTCGCTAGATCTCTGCACACCTATTATACAGACAGCCTCAACGTCGCCTACGCGCGGGAGGATGGTCTCTTCCTCCCATGCTTCTCAAATCCCGCTCACTCAACCTCAGTTCGGAGCCTCGCATCTTTCCGACACTAGGCAAGTCGACCCTTGCGTCCGGCCTCTTCCGTTTCCTACCCAATTTGTCACCCTGTCCTCCTTTCCTCTCTAGTACAATGCCGTTCTCCCAGGCTTCTTTCCTTCTCTTGTCTTCGCGGCCCTTCTTTGCGGCGTTGATGCCTTTCCTCATGGCCATTGGCATCTTGGCTTGGGAAAGGATGCTCGCCGTACCCGTGGGAGCGAGAGAAGTGAGGCGTAGGTCGGTGGTATGCATGCGGATGCGGCCCTCGGAGAAGGGTTTGGAGTGTAGTTTTGAGGAGGGGTCGAGGAGGTGGGATTCGGTGATGAGGCGGTGGAGGGCGAGGTCTTGGGCGAGAAGGGTGCGGGAGTCTTCTGGTAAGGTGGGCGTCGATGATTCCGCTCTTGAGGAAGTGGCCGATTTAGATGTTTGAGAGTCGAGGTGAGTTGGGGGACGAGAAGACTAGAGTGAAAAGGAGTTGCAGTTAGCATATGGCCAGGCTGGTTGGACCCGGGGGTGCAGGGCGTAAATTTCATACCATGAAGGCCCTGTGTTCACGTTTCCGCATTGTCTGGGAAGTAAAGTCAGGTTTGGAGGCGTAGTCAACGACTTCTACGGCCTCTTCCTCTTCGTCGGATATACCACTCCATTCTTCGTCGTCGTCACTGGTTTCGCCGCTCTTGTGGGCTTCGGCAGCGGTGTTCGGCGTGACGCGCACGGGTTCTGGTAAGGGTGCGAAATGGGACTCGAAATGTTTCTGGAATATTGAGCGGGCGGCGTCGTCATCGGCGTATGTATGTTGGATTTTCCGTTTACGAGATGTGACGGTCATTGTGGATAATACTGGCGATGGTACTGCTGTGGTGTGGCGATCGGGAAGCGAAGCTCGAATGGGGATACAATAGAGGATAATTGCAGAGAATGTCGGGTCTCTCTCTCTGGGCGGAATGAGAGGATCGAAGAAGTCTCGGAGGCGTGATGATCGAGGGCAGCACAAAAGAGAGTGTGGGACAAGAGGCGGTTGGAGAGGAAAAAAAAAAAAAATACAATGTAAGAAGTCCGAGAAGAAAGTTGCGAAAAAATTTAGGCCCACTGGGGATCGAACCCAGGACCTTCCGTGTTCAGAAGTGATTCACCTGTGAGACGGACGCGATAGCCACTTCGCCATGAGCCTGATTGGATGGTTGAAAAGACTCTTATTATCTAGTGCTATACAGCTTCTATTTGTAGCTGGTGGGGGGGGTGATTAGTGGACAGTGGAGTGTCAAAGCGTCAGTGGTTCAGTGGTCCGGTCTAAGTTCCAGGAACAGGTGCCTTGGCAACCGTGGCTTGAGAAGGTCAAGATCAGGGACGTGCTCTTCCTTTGATTCAGGCCATTCCAAACTCTTTTCTTTGGAGATATTGGATTTTGATAATGGCTCCTCGAGCACTGTAATTTTGGTAGAACGAAACAGGTGATGCCAATCATCATCGTCACATATTGTTTACATTCATTGGATGGTCTCTCAACACTCAGTATTTGTATCCTTGGGCTCAGCCAATCACCCACTACTCTGGAGGGTGGTGACGAAGAAACGGGGGGAGATGGTGGTTGGTTTTGGCGCAACTACTCTGTACTTGATTCCGAAAACGTCGCATTTACCATTGATGGTACCAAGCCGCGAACGAACGCGCCCGTTCCGTTCGTTGGTGGGCAGGTGCTCGTCGTCTCGTCGTCAGCTCAGCCTCCTTCGCTACTTCTCATGCCCTCACCATCACGCTCTTCATCTCTCACACCCAGCATCAATTATCGAACTATTCATCTCTTCTCAGACTATGAATTCGCGTTGTGAATTCACAGCTTACTCTTCAATGCTGGATTATTCTCCTGCATGAAACATCGTCTTTTTTTTTTTCCCCTCATCCTTCTTCTTAGCCGCCTGCGCCTTGGACTGTTTGTTATTATACTTGAGAACCTCTGTAACAACACAAGCAAACTACACCCGGTCCCGGAGTCTTCACCACCGGCTTTCGCGGGCCCTTGCAATTGTCATACTTAGTTCAAAATAGAGTGAGATACGAACCATGTCTCCGTCACCGGTCAGGGATCGAAGCGACGACGAGGAACCCCCGTCGCCGCCCCTCGAAGCCCCACCACCCCCTCCTGCCTCTCACCATGAGAGGCGCTCATCACATTTCGAACCACGGAGGAAAGAGAGGGACTACGATCGAGACGGAGACCGTGATCGAGATGCGGATCACGGGAGATACAAGGAAAGAGACCGGGAAGCTAGGCCCGATGAAGGACGCCATCGTCGCCAAGGCGATTATGAGAGGAAATCTAACAATAACATTGAGTCGCGCAATCGGCCCGCTGAAAGGGTGCCGCGCCCACGCGACCCCCGGAAACCACCTCCTAGCCCGTCGCGCCGCCAGAGCATCACCGAAAAGATCAAGTCTTCGTGGGGTGGCATTCTTCGCGATAATTCGGTGACGAGGCGGTCATCTACCACTTCAGCAACGAGGAGCGACCCTGTCTTGAAGATTCGGACGTGGCTGGAGCGGTGCAATACCGACCACGGAAAGCACTGTCACAATGCAGGCGCAAAAGACCTTACTTTTCTCCCCGTCTGGCTTATTGATTGTAGCACCGCCGATGCGAAACTGGTCAGGGCCCACCCGGACGATGATTATGTCGCTCTGAGCTATGTTTGGGAGCCGCCGGGCCGTCGGCCTACTGTCATGACGCGTGCAAACAACGTCGCTAGGTTCGAACAGAAGCTCCCGGTCGAGGACCTGCCGCAGACGATCAAGGAAGCCATGTGGTTAACGCGCAGGCTCGGTTTATCGCTTCTCTGGGTAGATCGTCTCTGTATCGTACAGGACGACGAACTAGAGAAGGATAAACATGTCCGAAACATGGCCTACGTCTTCGCCAACGCGTACCTCACAATCGTAGCTGCCTGTGGAAACGCGAATGCTCGCCTCGGCGGCCTGGACAAGAGGTCGTCGGTGCCCAAGTCTGGCAAGGCCTCGAACGTGTCTCACCTGGATCTTGTGGCCGAATCCAAGTGGAACACCAGAGCATGGACGGTAGAGGAGGCGCTTTATGCCAGAAGAGCCGTCTATGTGTTTAATGACTCCGTGACCTGGGAGTGCCATTGCGACGTCTTCGAGGGAGGGCCGCAGAGTCGACTGAAAATCCTCAAAGGGAACTCGACCCCCAAATGTACAACCAGATTGGGAAGTGCGCAACTCGCCTTTCAGCATTCTCCTTGGCCTGACCTGGACGACTACGCGAGGATAGTTATGGACTATTCCATGAGGAGGTTATCGGCCATAGAAGATACCCCTCGAGCCTTCGCCGGCGTCACCTCCATCTTGTCCAAAGTATTTACTGGTGGTTTTGTATGGGGCATGCCCGTGATGTTCCTCGAGGTCGCGCTCCTGTGGCAGCCCCAAATATCGATTCGGAGAAAGACACTGCCGCTGGGTTCTTCGTATCTCAATGCGCTGCCCTCCTGGTCTTGGATGGGCTGGTATTTTGACGACATACCCGTTGAGCTACTGCTATGGCGAGCAGCGGCCGACTACGTCGAGTCGTCGTCTCCGGTGAAGCGCGGAGCTCCTTCGAGGCGTTTCCAATCGCCAAACCACTTTAGAATCAGATCCCTCAACATAGAATGGAACCTCACCGATAGGACCACGACAACCCGTTTAGTCTCTGACGGTCTTCAATACCGCGGCAAGTCGTTCCGAAAGGGAGCGACGCTACCAGAGGGCTGGACACGCGTGGGCTACGACTACAAGCACGAAGCGGACCCCAACACCTTCTTCCGATACCCGATCCCCGTCCCGCCCATGAGCGGCCCGGAACAATTAGTGATGGCCCCCACCCTGCCGGGAACGTTCCTTTCCTTCACGACCACGCGCGGCTTCTTCGACGTGGAGATTAGCCGAAACCAAGCCTTCAAGGCGCGCACCAACCCCCCCATCGCCATCGGCAACATCTACGACCGCAGCGGTCGTTGGTCAGGTCAGTTTCGAAGTCACGACTCGTGGCTGGGCATCCAGTCGTCAAACCACGACGGCGACGAGAAGCTCGAGTTCATTGCCATTTCGGAAGCTTCCGAGAGGGGCGGCTCGCACGTGTTTGATGGGGAGTTTCTTCGAGACGTGCAGGATGCCGACGGCATAGTGGACTTTGTCAATGTGCTTTGGATAGAGCGCATCGGGGAGATTGCCTACAGACGTGGCCTTGGCCATATCGTCCTGCAGACGTGGAGCGCGCAGGCGAAGGAGCAGGTTCCTATATTACTGGGGTGATGTTGGAGTTTAATGTCTTCGTTGATGGATGAATATGCTGGGTGGCTTTCTGTGCTTTTCCTTTCCTTTCCTTTTTTTTCTCCCTTTTTCTCCTATCTTGTTGTAGCCCTCGAGGCTGATGTGAGATGAGCATCAATGGATGGTCTCTTTTGTACGAGAAATAGTAATGGCGAATGGCATTGTAAGATTGAAAGAAACCCTTGGAGTTAGTCTTTGAAGAGGAGGACCACACTGTTTCCAGATATATACATGTTGCTATGTCAATATTCAGATCCACCATCGTCAGAATGGATAAGAAGTTCTCTCATCCGCCAATAGAGTTACTTTCCTTACTTTTCCACTCGGGTGATCGCCAGAGAGTCACATCAGGAAGAAAACCTAGAGCCTTATCTTCGTTTTTCATCTATTAGAGTACAAAACCTCCAACCCTCCGCCACTAGTCTAGACAGAGTTGATAGAGACGAACAACAAGAACCAAACAGGAAAATCCCTTGTCGCTATCTACTAGAGCAAGGGGTACTCACACACGCAAGACTAAAAACAAAAAAAAAAAAAAAAAAAAAAAAAAAAAAAGAAAAAAAAAAAAGGGCCTTCCACCATTCTAGTCGACCCCCAATCCCAGACGCGAAGGCTTGTATAAATCGCCCAACCTTTGAGTTCTCGGGGGCCTCTTCTTGAACACACCCCTCCTCTAGACAATGAGCCAAGAAGGAAAGAAATGGCGTTTCGAGGAGTGTCGTAAAGGGCAATCAAGTAAACGAGGAACGTAGACGGAGAAATGACGGGGTGATGCTTCACGAAGGGCCAAAAAAAAAAAAAAAATAAATAAAACCAAGTGAAGAAGAAAGAAGAAGGAGAAAGCAAAAAGAATAAAACAGAGCCCCAGTCCTGCCAGTAATACATGCGCTCAATCCCTTTTGAGCGGTCCTCTCATCCCCAATTTCCTAAAACCGAAAAACGCCGGGACGCGAAGGCATCCTCGCCATAGCAACTGCCTCACGACTTTCTATCCCCACCACAATCGTGTGTTCACTCTTCGGCATTGTCTCCATTTGCCGCCTCCTTTGCGCTGGACGACACTAGTCGGATTCTAGTACCGGAAGACGCGGGCTGTGGGGTATCTCCAGCGCCGGATGGGGGAGCTGAGCCATCCTTGTCGGGAGACTCCTCAAGTTCCTTCAATTCGGGATGGTTCTCGAGTTCCGAATCGAATGCCTTATTGAAATAATCCTGTGAGAGAAAAGTTTGTTAGTCATTTGCAACGCAAAAGAACCCACGGGAGACCAGTGGAATATGTCTTTACTAACCTCCATAATACCCGTGTCCCTCCAGAGTATGCTACCGTCCTCGTTGTACGTCCGACAGTTCCTGATCATTAAATCGAAGTCCTTGCGGAAGTCGCTAAGGCTGCTATATTCACCCTTCTTGATCCTCGTCTCCATCATCTTCATGCAGATTGGCGACTGGATGATGAGGTAGTAATCGGCGTAGTCTCGCTTATGCGGCAACTTGATGAAGGGTCCAATGATGAGCCTCTTGGGAGGTTCGGACTCATCTTCTTCAACACCGTCGATAAGTTCGTCGGACTCGAGATTCATGAGGCCATCATAGAGCGTCCTGAGACTCCTTTGAAGGACCTCGCGCTGTTGCGGGTTGACGCGAGAGTCCCCGTTCACTGCGGCGATGGCCTTCGGCCGCCCTTGAGGACCTCGTCGCTTCTTCGGCGGGGGCTCCTCATCGCCGTCCTCGGCCTTACGCTTTTCGGACTTGGGCCCAGGCTTTCGGCCACGCTTCTTGGGGGTTTCGACTTCCTCGGTGCTCGCCCGGCTCGCTGCGGGTGAATTCAAGGCGGTAAGCTGTTTCAGCTTCTTGGCCTCCCGCCTCTCCCGACGAGCTTGCTTTCTGGCGGCCGCGGCCTCGGGTGAGTCCTCGTCATCATCCACAGCCATGAGCCACTGCTCCTCAGTAAGACCATCGTCGTACTTGACCTTGGTCCGTTCGCGAGCGCCGCGACCGAGTACAACTTCCTCCTCCTCTTGCACGGGGTTACCTTCACCCAGGTAGATATCTGGCAACTCCTCCTCCGTCATCAACCTAGGTTTGGATTTGCAGCCCGGTGCGGAACCGTAGACGGGATCTTTTGCCCTTTCCTCATCTATCTTCTGGAAGACAGTCAACTCATTGTCGCTGCGAGCCAGAATCATATTCAGCTCCTCGTCGTCCATCTCGTCTTGCTCGCCGGCTTCAGCCATGTCTGCTGCTTCGAGAAGCGTCCTCAACATAGCATCACGATCTGTCTCGGACGACTTATTATCGAATCTACCAGCCTGGATAACCTTGCCATCCATGTCCAGCTTGAACCGAGCACGTTCCAGAATCTTTTCCTCGACTGAGTTGGAACTAATGAGTCGGAGGATTCTGACCTCGTTCTTCTGGCCGATACGATGAGCACGGTCCTGGGCCTGCAAGTCCTGGTGGGGATTCCAATCGGAATCGTAGATGATGACCGTGTCTGCAGTCTGCAGGTTCAGACCAAGACCACCAGCACGAGTGGAGAGGAGGAACATGAAATACTTGGAGTTGGGCTCGTTGAATGCTCTAAGAAGCTCGGATCGATCTTCCGATTTGGTCATGCCATCAAGACGCAGGAATTCAATCTTTCGGTACCTCAGGTAATCTTCCATGATGTCCATAATGGCCGTCATCTGGAAGAACATGAGAACACGATGTCCTGTAGCCTGATACTTGGGGAGGATTCGATCCAAAAGCTCAAACTTGCCGGCCGTTCGCCAGAGAAGATCATTGCTAACACTGAGGGGATTCAAGACATTTTCGACTTCATCGAAGACGAAAGGATGGTTACACAGTTTCCTTAGCTGCATGATCATGTTGCTGAGGCCACGAGCGCCCGTCTTGCCGCCCTTTCCGTCGCTGACAATGATCCTGTTGTGCGTGACCATCTGCTTGTAGAGCTTGGCTTGCAATGCCGAGAACTTGCACTTGATAACCTTTTCGGTCTTGTCGGGGAGGTCCTTTTCGACATCCTTTTTGAGACGGCGGAGAAGGAAGGGTCGCAGAACCTTGTGCAGACGTCGAATGACCAAAATCTGCTCTTCTTCCGTCAAGTCCATCTTGTCCTGACCACCAGTGTTGGCGAAAGGTGTGTTGAACCATTCATCGAAGGTCTTGGCCGACTTGAAGATGTTAGGTAGGACGAAGTTAAGCATGGCCCACAACTCGCCAAGGTTGTTCTGCAGCGGTGTGCCGGTAAGAATGAGTCGGAATCTAGTGTGATAGTAGCCCTGAATGGTGGCAGTGAGCTTGGATTGGGTATTCTTCATGCGGTGACCCTCGTCGATAATCATGTGGAACCACTTGATCTTGCTAAGAATTGGGCGATCCTTGATGATGTATTCGTACGTCGTCAACAGCACCTGGAATCTGCCTTGGCGAATCTTCTCCTGTTGTTGTTTTCTGGCATTTGGAGGACCCTTGTATACAATCCTCGAAACAGATGGCGCCCACTTCTCGAATTCAAGGTTCCAGTTGGTGAGGGTGCTGAGTGGCACAATGACCAAGTAGGGGCCGTATTGCTGCTTCCGCTCGATGAGGTAGGTAATGAGACTGATGGTCTGAATAGTCTTTCCGAGACCCATCTCGTCGGCAAGGATACCATTGAGGTTGTTATTGTAAAGGGACAGCATCCACTGCAAACCTTTGATCTGATACTCCTTGAGCGTTCCGCCAACAAGAATGTTGGCTTGCTCGGTGACCTCCTCTTTGATCCGGTGGGCGACAGCATAGTAATCAATCTTGCGGGCGCTCTCCTCATCCTCCTCTTCCGATTCGATCTCGCTCTCCTCCTCCTCGTTGAAAGCACCACCGTCATCTCCATACCTCTCAGCAGCCTGGCGCTGCTGGACCTTGACGGACGAAGCCAGTTGCTTAAGGAAACCATCGGTCTGCCTCAGAAGGTGAGTAATACGGGTATCCTTGGCTTGGTCAAGCAGCGCGAGGTAGGCCTCCTCATCGTTGGCCTTGAGAGCTTGCAGACGCTGCTTGGCTGTCCTCTCCAATCGCTTCTGCTCCTCCTTCTCGATGTTGTAGTGCTGGTTGTACATGACCCTGCTCAGCTTGTGCGACTTGTTCTTCTGGGCTTCGGCAGCGCCGATGATCTCGGCACGGTGGTTGCAGATAGCCCTGAGGAAATCGACGTGCTTCTTCTTCTCGCGGTTCTCGCGGGCATCACGCTGCTGCTTCTCCAGTTTTTCGGTAATGCGCGCCTCCCTTACGCTCTGCTTCTTCATGCGGCGATAATTGCTGCGATTGGTAGTCATGGCAAGGTTGTCATAGGTCATCATCATCTGGCCAACCTTCTCACGCAACTTGCGCTGTCTCGCATATTGCTCCAGCGACTTCATTTCGATGATCGCCTTGATGCGTAGGCGCTCGTCGGCCTCCACGGCCTCCTTGGTTGAATCCCAATGGGCAAGGTTCGCGGGAAGCGCCTTCAATTGTTGGTACCGGTGGCTCATCCTATTGAACAACGAGCGCTCCTGCTCCAGCCGTAATTGATCGACATCCACGCCCGTCGGGAAGATGCTGGGAATTATCCATCGATTCTTCCGTTGGCCATGATCGTAATAGCTGATGGTATTCTTCAACATGCCATATGGTGACTTGAAGCTCTTCGGGCCAGGTTCCTTAAGTGATGACGTGTCCTCGGCTGCCGAATCAACACCGTTCATGACTTTCTTAGACGGATCTTGAGTAGGTTGGGCGGTCGTAGGAGCAGCTTGCGGCGCAGTTTCAGAAAGAGATGCCTGACGCTTCTGCCGTTGGGAGAACAGGGTTTGGCGGATGTTCTGTGGTAAACCTGCATTTCGCGACAACAGTTTGAACGCGCTAATCTGCTGCCTCAGCATGGTGAGTTGTTGCTGAGAAAAGAGGCTCATGGCATTGCCATTCTGGTTGGAGGGTGACGAAGTCGACGCGGAGTTAGGTGCGGCGGCGGCGGCGGCGGCGGAGGCATTCGCGTTCGGTGTGGATTGACCAGCAGTCGCCTGCGGCCTAGCAGATGGAGTTCCGTTTACGGCACCATTTGGCGCGCTCTGCGGTTGTTGTTGCTGCTGCTGCTGCTGGCGCATGAGGTTTTGCTGTTGTTGATGCTGCTGCTGCCTGCGCTGATGGGCTTGCTGGATATTCATCAGGAATTGCTGCGTTTTGATAAACTCGGGATCGGTATTGGGGACGCCGGTATCTTTCATATGTCTGAATTTCTATACGACAGTTAGTAAGAGCTTGACAACAACGGAGCGGACTGAGGGTAAACATGGAAATGGGGGCAGGGCTGGGGATGGAAAGGATGATGGGAAGTGTGATAGAATACATGATAGGAGATACATACCCGATACATCTCTTCAATCTCTTGTTTCCCGAATGCAGCGGGCATCGCAGCACCGGGGTGCTGGACAGCCGGAGTGGGCTGCACTGAAGCCATCTTGTCGGTTGAGGTGCCGACCACGCGTACGTGTCCCAATCTGTCGTCACTGGGATATTGTTTCCGTGGATTATCTCTGGCTCATAGCGAGAGGTGAGGCTGCGCGTATCGAGAGGGCAGCGTTGGAGGACACGGCAGGATGGGTGATATCCCCACACGGTAGGCGACCACCAAGTGTTAGGTTATAGATAGATACGGACGTGTGGTAGGGGTAAAGTGCGACAGGTGGGTATGGCGCGAAGCAGGGCTGGGGGATATGCGACTAGAAAAAACGGCTAGGGATTGGCTCGAGTGGGTGGAACAAGAACGTGATCGTTGGGTTGGTAGGGAAGTCGCGATCGGAGACGATGAATTACTACTATTTCGGGGGCCTCAGTTGGAATCTAATTTTTTTCGGCGGAGGGGGGGACCCGGAGGCGCGGCGCAACTCGCGAAATGGCGAGCGAGCGTGGGGTGAAGGCCAAAAACTTCCCAAGTCCTCCAAGGGGGGGCGACGAGGAAAAAAAAATAAGGGTGAATGTCGAAGGTGTCAAAAAATTTCGCCGCCTTGGGGAGCCGAGATTGGCGCGTGGCGGTGATTTTCTTGGACGGATGCGCGACAAAATCGCGTGGGAATGGTTTTTTGGCGAGATTTGAGATGGGATTGATGGCAGCTCGAAGGACCTTGCGATTTTCGATGCGCGGTCGGCGGTTGATGATGGGGGAAGTGAAGAACCACAACGAACAAGATTCAGCGTGATGGTTGGTGCGGTCTGCAAATACGCGAGCCACAGTAATTTCCAGCACGAGCAAAAGGCAGAAGTCCAAAAAATAGGAAAAGCACTGTTTTGATGACTAAGGCGTTCAACGCTTCTGATTTGGTGCAACGGCAGGAGGACAACACGCTAAAATTCGCAAATTCGCCCCGTGGAAAAGGCGTCCGCTTCACTATTAATAATCTTCAATTATATTCAATTATACGGTATTGGCCTGGAAGGTACGAAGTACTTTCGTATGTCAGCCAGTGTGGCCTATTTTATGGCATCCACTGAGATTCAAACTACTGCCGACTTTATACAAAGTCGCCAAGTTGACATGATCGAGAGAGTGTGACTCTCTTATTGTTTGTCGAAGTTGCCGGTGGAGGATCAAGCGTAGTAGCTAACTAAATGCATCGTCCCGCTCAATTTCAAGGGCATTCGTGGACCTCGACGCAAGGGAAAAATCAAACGAATGACGTCCTTTCGAGATCCCCCATCCTAGCCAAGTCGGCTGCCGACACTTACTAGTGTACTACGAAACGTAGCGTCGCTGGTGAGAGTACACTACAGTTTTCCCCAAACCTAGCGTTAGTCAACGCCGTTAAGCGCTAGGCATGGGAAGACATAAAAGGTCTTTCGGAAACTCGCGCGCGAATAAGGTCGCAAGTAATTTAGCGTACAATAGAATGTAAAGAGCAGAGAGAAACATGGTTTCACCTCTTTACTTTCTTCTTCTCTGGTCCCTCCTCTTCCTCATCACTCAGATCCCGATACTGAGTCTCCGGCTGCGTCCCCTGCCACGCCTTGGTAAACATGGGATCTTTCTTTGCGATCTCGGCATACTTCAGCAGCGCCTCGCGGGGATCTTCATGTAACATGCGAGCGAGTGGAATGTTTTCGGTAATGCGCTTCTCGTCCGGCGCGTTCTTCATGAACGGCGTCTGCTGCGGGATATGCGGCCGCCGGGGATCCTTTGACTTGCCGATTCCCTTAGCGCCCGTCTTCCTCGATCCGGGGAGGATGCCACCAGGGCTTATAATAGCGTCGGCAGACAAGCCCGCGGTTTGATCCATGGTGAAGGCGGGATTGTCGTCGACATGGCGCTTCTTCGGCGCTCGGGACATGGATTCCACGGCACCGCGAGACGACAGGGTCGGGTGGAAAAGAACATGCGTCTCTGCGTTTGCAGAACCTGTAACGATTTGGTTTAGTTTGGGGTGCCAGTCAACCACAATGAGGGGTGAACCAGGTGTTACTGGCGTCACCAGTTCGGGTCGTAGGTTGGCAGGGTTCAGGATGTGTAGGTCTCCGGTGGGCGAGCCAGTAATTATGCTGGTCGACGCCGGCGAATACTTTATGACGGACATGGGGTAATGGTCGGAGGTCGACGGGTGGGAAACGGTGACCAGTGGCTCCTTGAACTTGCGGGTATCCCAGAGCTTTATCGTATCATCGCCGCCCCTTGTGACCACCATTCTCCCATCTGAGGAAATGTCAAGCCCACCCGTCCAAGTATTAGGTTTGTGGGCAGCCTGGATCTCGCCAGCCGGTCGCGTGAAAGGGCCGTTGCCGCTATACATGACAAGCGTTCCATCCAGAGCAGCCGCAACAATAATGTTATTACCGCCCTGGGCCTGTGAACTCCAGGCGGCAGCCGTCATGCGGGTCCTGCCACCGGCTCCGGGGGCCTTTGACTTGAAAACAATTATGTCTTTCTGCTTGCGTTTGTTGTTGATATCCCAAATGCGCAGGGTACTATCGGTACCCGCCGTCAAGCAGAGGTTCTTATCCGAGGGATGCCACGTTCCTGTGGTTATCTCGGAGATGTGGCCCTTTGTGTTGTGCATGTCTCTGAGATACATATCTCCCTTGACGAATTCGGTGACGATGTCGCCATCCCGCGATAAAATTTTGGCTTGGGGGTGCGCAGATATGCAGAGGAAAACGCTTCCTGACAGGTGGTTAAACTCGACATGGTGGATGGGGTGCGACTCGGCGCTGGCGGCAGCTCGTTTCGACTCGTACGGATCGACACTTCGGAAAGCGCGTAGCGTAGTCGGGGTCATGGCGGCGAAGTCGTGAAACTTGAGAGTGCAGTCAATGGACCCAGTAATCAACCGGCCGCCAGACGGGTCGAGTGATACCGTGGTTACGGCTCGATCGTGGGTCTTGAGCACCATCTCGTGCGTCACTGGGTATTCATCGTCATCATCCTCGTCAGATGAGGACTCGTCGCTTTCGCTATCCGAGTCGCTCACGGCTTTTTTTTTGTCCTGGGATTCCCGCACAGAAACTATTCTTCGGCATCGTTCGATCTGGGCCGCCACGTCCGGTCCTTTTGTTGTGGTGCCAAACGACTTGGGGAGAAAAGCTTGGAGGTCGTCGTCTTCGGCCAGTTCGAGTCGTTGCACGTCTACGTCAGAGTCGGAATCCCCCATGATGGACGCCTGGGCTATCGCGGAACGAGTGAAGGGAAGTTGGGGGGGAGGTTTGTTGGTCAGAGGTGGGGGTTCTTATTTTTCAAGTGGGATGATGTTGCAAACATTAAAAAGAGCTGCGATCTAGTGCTGCGGTGGTTCTTCAAAGCTGTCTTGGGGCAGCTGGGGCGGCTGGGATCAATTGATATATCTACCTTTGTACGCTAGTGTCGATATTTCCGCCACGCAGTTGTGCCTTACTTCATCAAAGTTTCACCCACAGTAGCACCATGTCGCCCCCGCCGATTATGCACGCAATAAACGACGTCAAGAAACCCGCTTGGCCAGGCAATATATCGTCTGATTGATTAATCAAATGTATCTAGCAGTTCTCGCCTTAACATTGATCTCCATGAAGGGAAACACTGCTAGGCTCTGTGGATACGCCCAGCAAAGCGAATAGAACCTTGACAATGCACTTCAGCTCGAAACCGCTTTCCTTTCCTCTCAAAAGTTAGCTAGGCCTGGACAGCCCCCCCGAGCTTCTTAGCTTGCAGCCGCTCAAGCTCCTCCTGCTTTATCCTTTCCTGAATCCTAACTCTCTCGGGCACAACAGCCTCCCTCGGCGCCGTAATCTTCCAACCCTTCAGGTTTTCCTTGCCCAGCGCTTTCAGCGTAGCCCTCTCAACCAGTGTATAACTACCATCAGGGCGATCAAAGCAGAACGGCTCCTTGAGACTAATGGGCGGGTTCGTGATGATACGAACATTGCGCAGCGAATTATTCGACGCAGCATGCAGCATAAGAGGGTGAAGCAGAAAGATATCTCCGCATTCGCCATGTGTCTCGATGAACTGGGTGCAGCTCTTGGCGAGCTCGTTGAACCATTCCGTTCCCCGGCTGAAGGGGACCTCGGGGAAGTTGGGGTGGTCTCTGGGATGCATGACGGGGGAGACTCCCGCCGGATTATCGTAGAGGTATTTCGCGACCTTGGGCATCGCCTCGGGGCAGATGTAGGTCCCCCCTCCGCCGGGCACAATATCGGTGAAGAGCGGAATCACGAGGAGGCCCTGTTCCGGGCTGTCGAGATAGTGGACGAAAAAGTCGCCATCTACGTGCCAAAGGCCGAGATCCTGGGGAAGGACCGTCTTCCCTTCTCCCTCAACAGAACCAAGATTGACAATGAAGGTGTCCCGCCATTGCTTGGTCCACCCTACGATGTTGTCCTCACCACCGCAGAGCTCGCATATAGCCGCCCACGCTCTGGGCGCGAACTCGGCGGCGTTGAACTCGCGGTGGTGAGGCATATGGATGCGTTCCTTGTTCCATGTGGATTTGTCGTTTGGGTCCATACCCAGCCTTGTCCAGACATCGGCAGTTGCCGATTCGGCTTGCTCGCGCGTAAAGCAGTTCTTCAAGTGAAGCCAGCCATGGTTAATGAAATGTTCCTTTTCGGCCTCGGTGAGAGGAGTTGGTGGTGTGGCCATGGTAGTGGAGAGAGTGGAATAATATATTTAGACTTAGCTTGGGACTGCTTGTAAGTGAGATTGAGAGTAAGGAGTCAAGCTTAGCACTAAACTACTACGTGCGGGATCTACGGAGGGAGAGAGACCAGACTGAAAGCAGCAGAACAAGAATGGCTGGCCACCGAATTATAAACACATCCCGCGAGGGAGAGGCCCCCAACGCCGGAACAAATGGAATCATGACTGCCGTGAGTCCTGGTGCGGGGAAACTGCCCAAAGGCTGGATGAGTCCATCCGGAGACGTGGGGATGTCAAGGCACCTTTGACACCCTAAACCAACAAAAGCCGGTTGTTCACCATCCAGTGGATTGGGGAGGAGGTAGGATGTATTGTGCGCATCTGCAAGCGATTGTAGGTCGATTCGGGGCCAGAATTATCCGTATCCCTCGGGAAGCCTGCCGAGTTCCCGTTAGCGTTCTGCAGAGGGTCTCGTGTACACAGATACAGCCCATCAGGTTAGGACCACGCTTGAGGTGCCTATTCGCTTGGTCAACATCCAGAGGGCGTCAGTTATACTCTAGATCCTCAACAGTGGTCAACGGTCAAATGATTTCTGTCCGCTTCTCAAGGGAACGGGGTAATAAGCCGGGACCGGCAGCTCTGTTCGTCAGGATCAGGCCATCCAGCCTTGGCCTCGAATGTAATTCGAGAGGGGAGTGTTTGGATAGTAGAGCACAGGTATGGTCAAATTGATAACAGGAAGTCTTCGTCGCCGGTCGCTTACCTGGCTGTCACGATGTTGAACAGACGACGGGTTGAAGTGCTGAAGTGCTGAAGTGTAGTGGCCATGGTCTGAATTCATCCGCTGGTGGACGTGTTTTTTTGGTGGGGTGGTTGAACTGCAGGTGGCAACGTAGAACATTTTCAAGGGCGTGGGGCAGCGGTGGCACAGTACAAAGGTACGTACATCAAATCCTACAACGCCAACTCTATTGAACATTCTCCAGACAAAGTACATTTAGCATCCGAGCAGACCTCCTCCGTACATTGAAGCGATTCCCAACACAAATCAGTTTTAGCTCTAAACGTCCCCTCCAAACGACACTTCTCTTTTGCTCCCAGCATCGAAGTCTTGAGTTCGAGTCGCCTCCTACACACAACCGCACCTCTAAACTTCGCCACAATGTCCGCCGACCACCTAATAGACGACCACGAACAATATGCATCCTCAGAAGATTCCGACTTCGCCCCCGACGGCCTCGATGCCGCCGACCGTGAATCTATAGACTCCGATTCCGACGCCGAAGGCGACCGGGCAGCCGCGAAAAAGCGCAAAAGGGACGCCGCGGAAAATGTCGCAGAAGACGTAGACCTAGACAACTCAGGCGACGAGACTGTGATCAAGAAGGGCGAGAAGCGGCGGAAGAAGAAGAAGGAGGGGGGAAAGGCTGAGAATGTCGAGGATGGTGACGAGGGTATCGTGATAAAGACGCGTAGTATGCGCGCTGCCGAGTATGTTTTTTCTTTTCCTTTCCGTCCGTGGTGGCAGTCTATGCTAACGTGATTTTTCCCCTTCTTAACAGAAAAGCGGAACGAAAGTTTGCCGCGAGCACCGGCCCCGTCACAATCGACGTCGACGCACTATGGGAGCAGATGAAATCCGGCTCCAGCATCGCGCCCGCCCCCCCGCAAGCCGAATCTACATACAAAGATGGCGCAGCCACCCAGAGTGTCCCCGGTCCAGATACCGCAGGCGACGCAAGCGCGAACCTCACAACCGATGCGTCTCTCGACCCTCCCGACATGATCCGCATCAAGCGGAAATACAACTTCGCCGGCCGAGTCCACACTGAAGAGAAACTCGTCCCCCGCGATTCGGCCGAAGCAAAGCTCTATCTCGAGTCGCAAGCCGGAGCACCGTTACCCGACGATGACCCTTCGGCGCCTACAAGAAAAGTACCTCGGAAGGCCTTCCGTTCTGCCTTCGAGCCGGTTCTCGAACCCTTACAGCGGCGGGGCGATCTCAACCTCGGCGTGTCGGCGAGGCTTGAGGCCAGGGACGCACGCGCCAAGAAACTCAATACTGTCGAGAAGAGCAGGATGGACTGGGCTGGGTTCGTGGATAAGGAGGGCATCAAGGATGAGCTGGAGCTGGCGGGCAGGTCGAAGGGCTCGTATGCCGAGAGGCAAGATTTCTTGGCGAGGAGCGAGGCCAGGAGAGAAGAGGACGCGAGAAGAGCGAGAGTTACTGCAAGGTGATGAGGGAAGCATGGTTTTCAAGGAAGAATCGGACTAGAACAGTGGTGGGAAAAGAGGACACGGAGTGCTATGATAGTGTTTTAATGATACCCATGAGACGACCGCGGAACGGATATACTTAATGTCAATAGATATATACTGTTGAAGGCACCTCTCTCACCAACCTGTCCACACAAGCACACACACGCACACACACACACACGCCCCGCACCCGGATAGCACACCCTCTCGTATTTACAGCTTCGATCCTTCCTTGCTCCCAGGGGGCAACAACTCAACATCCCGATACGGAAGACCAAGATGCTTATACACAAACCCAAACCGATCACTCCCAAAAAACACTTCCTCCACCCCATCCCCATTCCTAACCACCAACCACGGCGCCCCAAACGCCCTCTTCTCCAACGCCACCTCCGTAGTCTTCTTCAACGCATCCTTAATCTCCTCCGTCTCGATACCCTCCATAATCTTCCTAACATCCTCCGCAGAAAACAACCTCGGCTCGCGCGAGTAATCCCGCCCAGAACCTGCAAATCCCCGCGGGCACTCTGCAAGTACGGTCGCGAGCTCGTCGGCCTTGGACACGTTGGGATGGGGAGGCGTGAAGAAGGAGTCGAGGAGGTAGTGCAGCGCCGTGACGTAGGTTTCGGCCGGGTAGTGCCGCTTGATGTAGTGCAGGGCGCGCTGGGGGATGATGGTTTTGCTGCGGGAGAAGAAGTTGGGGGGGAAACGCATGTTAGATTTGCCGACTCGGGCGGCGGTGCGGGCGCCGTCGATGGAGAGGTGCTCGCCTTTGCGGGGGACCATCATGGGAGGGGCGTTGCCTGGATGGAATTGTGAGCCAGGGATACGGAACCGGTGGAATATGAATCAATATATAAATCAGAGACTGGGACCCTTACCAGCAGCTTTCATGATGGCGCCAAGAGCCACGGGATGGAACCTATCCAGGACATCGTGTTAGAATCAGGAATGGAGGTGATGAGGGAGAAAGAATATCTTCGGGGTAGTCTCACTCTACTTCGACTCCATGAGCAGCTAGAGTCTCCAGATTGGCAAAGAGATCGGCGAAGCCAACATAGCTAAACCACGAAGCTAAGAGGTTGATGAAAGTAAGCTATCGAGGTGCCTGCACATGTATGGTTCACACATCTTGCGTTGGCATGCAGCCTTCACTTACCAATGTCGTAATAGAAATCAATCTTGCCGCCCATCTTTGCTACAGTATGCTGAGAATTCGTGTTCCTTCGATCGCGCGTTGAGATCTCGATGTCTGAAAGCCGTGGCGAGGTTCGAATTGAGTGTCGGGAGAGGTGACTTAATAGCTCCAACCCTACGACGAAGACGCATCTTGGACCTCGGCATCCCCACATCGGGGACCATCAATCCAAGTCTGGGGTTTCCCCCAATATGGAAAGCTTATGTTCGTGGATAGAACAACGCCTCCCCTTCCCCAGAACTACACGACACCACAAAGCAACGAACAATGCGGGGAGCGCCATGGCCATGGCAATTTAGGTTGATGTAACGAGGGGAAGGAACAAGAACTCGCGATTATTAAACAATCCGCATCTTACGAAGTGCCTGAAGCCAATTATTCGAGAGAAGACTCAAAAACATGTCCGTTTCTATGAGCACTCATGCCAGCACAGTCCTCTGGTCATCGCCTTGTGCATTACTGACTTTTCTATCTCGGCAATATTTCTGACTATCGTCAATGTTGGTGTTTATATTTTGTGTTTACTGAAGGCGATGACAGAATACATACCTTCGGGGACAAATTGATGCTGGCAATGTTCGATGCCCCTTCTGGAGGCTTCAATGAAAATTGATCTGCTAACAAAGCACATGCCTCCGTCGGACTCGAATCCATTCAGTAATTGGAGGTGGCGGTGCCCAGCAGAATTGATCTCGAGCTACCTATTTCTTTCGCGTTGATTTCAAGTGCAAGATGTCAAATAGACTCCATACGGAAGGCAGAGTTTTGGCTCTTCTCTATTCATATTCAAAGCATCGCATGTCAGTGGCTCGTTAAACCGAGAGCCGCGATGGTAACGGCGGCTCCACCTATGAGGCTGTTCTCCATTGCAACCAAAGAAGCTAAGCCGCTAAATTCGGAGTATCTACAAATGGGGGATCTATCATCTATCGACCACGTTTTCAATACATCTATTGATGCCAGCAACAATACCCGTTTTACTCAGGGCTTCCGCAGAAAATCGTCCCACAAAAGATCTGTCGCCGACGCTCGCTCTTCCGGCAGCCAGCGTAGCAGCCGCTGCGCAAATTTGATGAACATTTCTTTTTCTTCACCATTCAGCTTCCCTTCGCGGGTCCAAATAGACTGATCCGGAATCGGTGTCGACGCAATCCAATTCCCTTGCTCATCCCAGTACTTCTTACAGGCCTCGCTACGTGTCAGGAACGCAGGCGGCGGCGGTCCCATCAGAGACACCATTTCCGCTAGGTGCTGTTCATCGTTTAATATGCCCTTTTTTCTCGCCGAGAAGAGGCTTGTGCCCTCAAAGAGGTCCCAAAGCTATAAGATGGAAGGTAAGCAATGATGTCCAACCACCAGGCTCATGCACTTGTATGGATTAGACGCACCATAAGACCAACTGCCCAAATATCGACAGGATAGCTCCATTCCATACCCAATATGACCTCTGGTGCTCGGTATATATCGGGCATGATATCACCGCGATGGCTGTCACCTATGCAGGCCATGCCAAAATCCGAGATGACTGGCGAACCATGTGTAAGTGGCATTCGGCGAGAATAATAGATTGTACGGCCGGGCAATGTTTTCCGTGGCGCCGGGTCAATGATTTCCGCCTGCTCGATCTCAGGCAGCGGGGATGGGTCGTGAATACCGAGGAGAATGTTATTAGGTGATATGTCTTTCGAGTAGGAATTAGTACGCATACCCTATTCGTGCCATTCAGTTGGGTTTACCTGTATGGACAACACCCGCCTGGTGAAGAAAATCTAGGCCAATGAGAATGATTTTGACAGTTTGTTTGAAGAGAGGCATCCCCAGCGATCTCTCTGGAAACAAGTTTCGCAGATCGGTCAGATTCATGCCCATAGGCTTATAGACGAGGCAACGGTGCGTAGTCCCATAGCCGCTGGTAATGTTGAAATGGTCCTGGACAAGGCGAATGTAGTTTCTCCCTGGGTGTTCCCCCTCGACGGTGGCCACATACTCGGCGATTGCAATCTCTTTATCGGCCTGGGCATTTAATTCGGAGGCTGTTTGCGCTGTGCAGACCTTGACGGTGAAGAAGTCATCGGCATTGGCATCTCCCTTTCTATGACGGTGGAAGATTACAGAACGTTAGTCATGCCATACAGTCAAATAGTGATCTAGGCTTGCTCTTACTTGAGATCGCGACACAACCACACTGTTGAACCGACACCATAGCCAAGCTTGGCAACGACTCGGTACCGATCGTTTAGAACCTCCCCAAGTGTGACAGGGTAGTAATTGTCTGCGCGGTATCCTGGTACGTCTTCTTCTTGGACTAGAGCATCTTTGGGAAGCTCTTCAAAGGCCGCTGACGCCGACGGGGCTGTGGAGAAAGAAGCTGATTGAGCGTTTGGATGCCCCATTATGTGAGGCTGAATGAGAGAGTGGAATCGCAGTTGTTTCGCATATGAATTGAAACCGGGCCTAGAAGAAGTAGATAATAGGCGAGAGAAGGTACGACGTGATAAACGAAGGAACCTCATAGTGCGACGGGTCGTGAGGAGGCTCGAATCTTGACTTTGTTGCAAACATTGAAGCTGGGGAGAATACGACACGAGGAAGCTGGAGGGTATCCCACTCTCCGTTTAGGGTAGGCGGTGAAACACTTTACATCTAACTTCAATGGTTTACGTAACAAATCCAATGGCGCGTCTATGGTTTAAATGATTGGTTCATGCCATGAAAGATCGTCACATACTCGTAGCCGCGAAGGGACGTCTTCTCCAATCCGATCATTCGCAGAAGGTCGAATGCAATCTTGTAAAACGAAGCCCCTTGAATGTGGAGAACTGAGCCAATCATGCGAGCGTGTATCACGCGCGGCAGATGTTCCCCACACATTCCAGTCCCTCGACTGAGGTCGTCGAATTGCGAGCATGGATCCACGACTTCTCTTCGCTTACATCCACTAATACCTCGGTAGAATTCATCGCATTAGAGCCCGTGAAGCTATGATGATGGAGATTGAGAAAATCGAGACCGACTCAGCCACTCTTGGAACCTCAGCACGCATACCCTCAGCTCAACGATCTAAAATTAGTCCTCCAATTGGAGAATGCGACTGCTGTTACACCGTCTGCAATTGTGACAGAGGGCGGGCGCTTAGCGAAAGAAGATCTATGAAGCTGGGATTGACCGTGAGCGTGGATGAGCACTGAGTGAGAGAAGATGTCTGGAGCTGGGGGGTGATTTTGAGCGTGTCGATGGATTCCGAAAGCATATAAGAAGGGATTTATCCCATCTTCGGACAAACAATCAAAAGAAATCAAGTCTTCTCTCTTCCCCAGATCCAATCCTCAGCTACCTTTTTCTTCTACCATTCCCAATCCTAAGCTACTCTCTTCATCATGTTTCGCCCTACCGCAGCTCGCCTTGTCAGATTTGTTGGTCCTCTTGACGCCGTGGACTCACCCTTTGCCTCGACCATCCGCTCCGCTGGACATGAACTCGAGACTAGAGTTAGTCATGACCCTCCATTTTGTCTGGCTGATCTTGAGACTAATGTGTATTATTTAGTTTCCCATCATTGTTGAAGGACGAGTCCAGTAAGGACTAAGCAGTCGAGACGCACAACATGCCTTTCGCTAATGTTCATCACCATTAGGGGATCGAGGCCGCACCCGTCGACGAAAGACCCGACCGATCAGAAAGACGTCGTTACTGTCAGTTTTCATACGAACGCTGGAACGCGTATGTGCACCGTCCATGCACACGACGACGGGACCTACAAAATCTTCTTTTCCAAAAATGGAAGAAATAGGTTGGGCGTCGAAACGGCGGAGGAGACTGTGAACAATTCGTCCGCTTAAGGACCCGGTCAACAAGAGCTATGATCTCTAGAGATTTGCCAGTTTGCCAATTTGGATAATGTATATTACATGATCGGATTGCGTGATAGATTTTTCCAGTAATTGCCAAGAAGAACATGCTATTGTCTACGCTTTACACCTATAGTACGGGCTAAGATACCTAGCAACAAACGGAGGAACCGGCTTCCATAAGGCAGTGTCTGAACTATCGGTAGCTAAGATCGTCATGCGGGTTGGATGATGAGGAATTAGACTCTGTGATGCAACAACGGATAGCTAGTACCTAATGGAAATCAGGACCTAAAAGCAACGATGTAGAAACTACACCGAGTCCTTCAGTTTTCTACACTCTTTCTTCTTCCACATACGTATGTAAGAGAATACAAAGCTGATCTTGTTTTGCTCCATGGAGTCCTTGTGCTTGATGCCGCACATCCGCACTATCAGTGGGCGTCGAGATTAGCACGGCCCAGGTGTTTGCCAACCCGTGAGACTTCATCGTGTGGCTGTCATTCACCCACAACGGAAGCAAGATCTCCGTGTCTCTGTAGTCGGGAAACCCCTAGGATGGAGCTGGTTGAGGACTTGTCAAGTGAGTGTGGAAGACGGTGTCTGTTTGGATATCTAACCGGAGCTTCCCTGTTGGGTGCTTGTGCTACAAAGTAGTCGAGGTATCAAGGAGATCTGGCCCTTCATCCTTCGATATGATTTAGAGGAGAAACCCAAGTTAGGCTAAGTAGTCGACGCTGCTTTCGAAGTAGGACTTATGTTCTAGCTGCGTGGAATGGAGTTGCAGTCTGTTGATGCGAATCGTTGACAGTTGATTTTTGCTATGGGCAACTCGTAAAGGACTTCGCCCCTCGCATGATCAAGAAATCGACTAACCCGGTGCCAACAACGACAGAAGAAAAGGCCACGCAAAAGGAATACAGATATTACTTCGACTTCAGATAGGGGTGCGGTGCAGCTGTCATTTAGACTAGAGAGGGGGACAACCGCCAGGGCGAGCGATGAGATTAATCTTTATGAACGTTGACTGGAGAAAAAAATACAGATTTGCCAAATAAACATTCGCAAGGTCCCTGTCCAGCAACGTTAAGCATCCGCCAAAGCACTTCGCATAAAAGACAAGAAAGCAGAAGAAAAAAAAAAAAAAAAACAAGAGAGCCGCCAGACAGAGAACATGATCCTTTACATGCAACAACAGTACCGTAGCCAAGTGACGTAAACCGTTTTCTTTCCTGCTTCATCTTACAGCCTCCTTTTTCTCTTTACTGACTCAACTGCAACACCCCCTGTGTACTCTCGATATCTCTAATCGTATCATTAAACACCTCGGTGAGGTTATTGAGCACCATCATCCTGTTCGACTCGTTCCTGGTCCTCCAAACAACCTCCATCAACTCGCGGTTAATCTGCTCCAGCTGTTCAATCGTGCAGCCCGAGGTCCTCTCCGTCAAATCCGTGAGGAAGTCGTGCACTTGGCCCTCGTGTATGACGATAGTGGGCTGCGAGGACAAGCCCGAATTCCTCACAGATTGGGAGCCTTCCTCGCCCGAAGTCTCGTTGACATGGCTGTTGGAGCTGACGTGGTTCGACTTACGCACAGATGTCATCCGGGATCCGAAGGGTTGCCGGCTCTCCGAGGACGTTGGGCTATTCTCCGTTAACCCAGACTCACCGATACGCAACCTGCCGCTGGCCAGGGCATGGGCCTGCGAGTGCATCCAGGATTCGCCGCTTGATTGTCCCTGACTGGCGGGAACGGGAAGGGTATCGGGCATCTGCGAATTCTCAGCCTCTCCAGAGCCAGAGCCGGAGTGGTCATGGTACCCGTTGGTCAACTGCGTGCTAAAGTTGGAAGACTTATTCGAGGGATCCGACGTCTTTGTAGTCGAGGCGTCGTTAAGAATCGCCGATGGTGACACACCAGGAGGGACCGACGTGACAGCAGAACGCTGCGACACTTGTGTCGCCGCCATACCGCCACTGGCAGTCTCCGCGCCCGGCCTTCGTGCTGATGGAGGAGGCGGTTGCATCCGCGGCACATTTGGGAATTCTTGAGTATCGCCGTCCACGCCACTCATCTGGACGTCACTGCCACGTCTCACCAACGTGCCGTTGCCGGGATGATTGGCATCCGAGGCCGAGCCATGTCCATTAGATAATGGGCTCATAACCTGGAACCTTGCTGTCGTCGTTCGGGATCCTGGCAGAGGCTCGCCGACAGTCACGGGGCCTTGGGCTTGGGAATCGCTGTCGTTGCCGACAACATCAGATTGGACAACGTCCACTATCGACTGAATCGCGAGTCTCTTCCGCTCTCGCTCCGCCGCCCGCTTAGCACGATGGACTTGTCGCTGGTAGAGAGCTTCCCAGTCAACATTGCTTGTTGAATGCTCCACATTGGCCACGTCGACCTCAACGTTAGAGACGAGTTCATTTGCCTTGAGGGTTCTCTCCTTGTCACCGATATTGCGCGAATCTTTGGCCAAAGTTTTGATATCAAACAGGAAATCCTTGGGTCGGCAGTAGAATCCATTGGAAAGCCTCTCTTCGATTGTAGTCGTTTCGAGGTTGTAGAATATGTTGCCAGTTGCTGTCTCCTTAAGAACGTCATTTCCGTGCTTGTCCTTAACAATCTCGAATGGCCGCACCTCGCTCTCCGCGAGATCAGGTCGGACGTAGTTAGGGTCCGCTTCCGCATACAAGTATGTGAGCTGCGTAAAGGGAATGGCCGGCTGCCGGAACTTCTTGTACTTCCTATTGATCTGATCCATGATTGGCTGCAGTTGTACTTTTAGTACATTCAGGAGTTGGCGATCCCGCTTCTCCAGCGCCTTCATCTCCGCTTTTGACGGGACCTTGGGCGGCGGAGGTGGCGCGACCTCAAGTTCCTCCAAGACACGCAGCTTCCGGTTGGCGGGGTCAGGGAACTCTGCAGGGTTCATCCTGATGTAATTGATAATGGCTGAGAAGTACTCTCGTCGGTTAGGCTGCGTAATTGTTAGCAAAGTCCAGCCTGAGGCGAGTAGCTTCTCTAATGCGACAAACAACACTTACCTGGTCAGGGCGCTGGATTTCGATACGGTTCTTCCGCGAATATCCGAAGAAATCCTTCAAAAGCTCGGCAGGCAGGTGTTCCAGGTCACACTCGGCAGACGCCAAAAGCAGAACTGGATCGGTGGGTGGAATTGCCCGCAGCATTGACTGGAAGGTGATCATGGCAAGGCTGTCTCGTAACGAAGCATACCAAGTCTCAATGTTGGGAATGAATATTACACTTGGTTTATGTCGCTTGATTTCCGTGAACTTGCCAACAATGACTTGTTCCATGGGCTAGGAAGGTAAAAAAAATGTTAGTACAAGACGTTCCATCGACCTTCCGTGACAGGAAAAAAAAATTAAAAATAAAGGGAGGACAAAAGGCTCCAATACTTACACGTCCGTCAGCTAGCAAACTTGGCAGATCAAAAGTTTGAACATGCACCCCCTCGAGGTGGTGAAGAACCGCAGAGGATAGGTAGCCTTGACCCATCCCGCTTGCGCCGTGAATCAAGAACCTGGGCCGGAATACTCGGCATCTTTCAAACTCCTGGTGGAGCTTCTCCCGCCCGAAGCCGTGGTCACCATCGGTGACTTGCTCAAACATGGCTTCTTCGAGTGCCGTTATTTTCTTCTTCCGAGGGAGAGTTTCGTCCAACGCATCCCTGATTGCGGCGAACTGGTCGCGGAGAAGGGGCTCGATGCCTAGGGGGAGGGGCGCAGCACCTGACGTCGTAGAACGTTCGGAGGAAGGAATCATCTGCTTGATGGACAACATGAAGTCCGTGGCGTGGACAACAATATTGTCAGGATCGACAATGAGCTTTTCTTGTGACGAGTATATCTGTGGGTAAGCGCGTTGGATAGAGTTAAGAGCGGCCTCTGTACACAAAGCGCGCAGATCAGCACCACCGTAGCCCTTGGTGTGCTCGGCGAGGGAATCTTTGAATTGATCCTGCAGACCCCAGTCTTTCGTATGGATGTCGATGATTGCTCGTCTGCCCTCCTTATCAGGGAGCGGGAAGTAAAACTCCCTGTCAAAACGACCAGGCCGTCGTAGCGCGGGATCGATATTGTCCGGACGGTTGGTGGCGCCGATTACAATGACCTGTCCACGACCATCCATGCCATCCATCAAAGCGAGGAGAGTGGAGACGATACTGGCATGAATCTGCTCCTGCTTACTCGACCGAACAGGAGCAAGGCCATCTATCTCGTCAAAGAAGATGATGCTCGGCTGGGTGCGTCTAGCCTCTTCGAAAAGGAGTCGCAGCTGTCTTTCCGCCTCTCCGACCCACTTGCTCAGGGCATCAGCTCCCTTGCGCATATAGAAAGATATCTTCTTACCCTCGGAACTGACAGAGTTGGCCAGTGCTCGGGCCAGAAGCGTCTTTCCGGTGCCGGGAGGTCCGTGGAAGAGGACACCTCGGGGCGGGGTTACATGGAACTTCAAGAACAGTTCCGGGTATAAGAGGGGCAACTGAACCATTTCCTTCAGCTTGTCGATGTGACCTTGAAGACCGCCGACTTGGCTGAAGTTGACGTTCATATTCACGCCGAGCGGGTCTGCGTCGGCGAATGCCTTTTGGTTCTTGATCTTGCCAACATTCGGAGTAGCACCAACACCGCCAAGACCATCAGCATTAATAGCGCCACCAATGCCGCCGAGCATGCCTGGAGGAGCAGCAGAGGTAGGTGTCATCCCTACATTTCCGACAGCGTTGGAACGCGTAACCATCTCATCGTCACTACTATCGGAGTCCACGCCGCCGGCTGCGCCGGTGCCCCAGGGTCCACCGAGGAGTGAGCCGACCCCACCCCCACCGCCGAAAGGTCCGTAGGCCGTATTGAGAGGTCGTTCCCAAGCTAGACCTGCACCACCACGAGCACCCCGACGACGGGCGGGGGTTGGAGCAGGATCTTCCGGCTCTTCTTCTTCAATAGCCGCCGCTGTCAGTGGCGGTAGATAGTAGCTGACAGGTTTGGCAGTTGCGCGACGCCTCTTCGGTTCTTGGTAAATAATGGATGGGGAGCGACGACGTCGACGCGGGCGAGAGGTTTCACGAAGTTCCTGGAGTTCCTCGGCAAGTTCGTCCCTATCGAGCTCAACCTCGTCACCCGAGTCTTCGCGCCTGGCCGCTCTGGTACTTCTTCGCTTATTGCGGCTGGAGCGGCGACCCCTGGGAGTGGGGCTATCATACTCGGCGTCGTCGTCTCCATCACCGTTCGCGGCCGACTCGGCTCCAGACGGCTCACCATCTGACTCCTCACCAGGATCAAAGTCACTACTAGGCTCCTGAGCAGATTTGCGGCGGCTGGATCTGCGCCTTAGCCGCCGAGTTCCAGTGTTGTCTTCTTTGTCTTCGGCCTTATCTTCCGGCTCGTCGGCCACGGTGGTAGAATTCTTCCGTCGAGTAGACCTAGTACGTGTAACAGGACCATCGTCGTCGTCTTCTTCTTCTTCTTCTTCTTCTTCGTCTTCCCGGGTCTCTTCCGCATCGGGAGCCACGTCAGGTTTCTCCTCGGCGGTAGACGCCTCGGCTTCCTCGACCTCTTCATCCTTCTCTTCCACGGACTCGAGCGGCTGGTCTTGTTCTTCTTGAGCGGCTTGCGTTTCGCGGGAACTGCTTTCTTGAGTCGCTTCTTCAATAGTTTCGGGAGCCTTCTTCAGACCCTTCATAGCACGGGAGGACCGAGTTGCACGGGCGGCGGTTTCGGGGCTAACGCTCCTCGAGCCACGAGCAGGCACGGCATGGTGGCCAGAATTAGACAGCTCAACAAGCTCTTCTTGGAATTCCTCGGTCCTGGCCCTAGTTGTCCGCCGAGCAGCTCTCAGGTTGAGATTTGAAGCTTCACTCTTGGGCACTTTCAGGCGAATAATTTTGGACTTGGCTTTGCCACGGGGTGTTTTCTGGAGCTCATCAACACCATCGTCTTCGGCAGCATCGTCATCTTCCTGGTCGCTACTCTCGGCATAGCTGATTTGTTTGGTCGCAGCCTTGCGGGTTCGACGACCAGCGGCATTGACTGGCAAGTCCTCGGCTTCTTTGTCGTCATCTGATCCCATATCGAAAGAGGCTTCATCCTGGCTATCAGATAGCACCTCCTCATCGTCCTCAATGTCTGTTCCTGAATAATTTCGGTTGGGCCTGCGGCGGCTAGTTCCTGAATTCCGTCGACCTCTCGCCTGATGACGCGACCTCTTCTTTCCCCGGCGGGTTTCTGTCTCGGGTTCAAAGTTTTCGTCATCGGAATCAGACTTGTTGGGGTCGAAGTCTAGAAGCTCCCTCTTGCGTTTGCTCGCCATCTTGAGAATGCAACTCGATAGATGAGTTGCGCAGCGTTGGGTCTATAACGGCGGCGATGCAGGTAAATGCCGGATGTGGTAACGGAGCGGGGAATGATGGCTGACGGTAATGAAGTTAATGGCCTAGAAAGGAAAGAGTAAGCTTCCAGCGCTCTTAAGGGACCTTTTGCACATGTTTCGTAAACTGTATTCGAGGATGTGGATGGGCATAGGTTGGTGATGGAAGCTACTGAGGAGAGCATGAAGCAGCCAGCAAGGTTGAGATGAGAGAGTGGTGTTTCGTTGGGAGCGGAGATGGAAGATAGCAGGCGCCACCCAAGGCTAAAGGAGCTGGGTCTCGAATAGATGTGTTCAGCCTCACCTTTAAGAATTCTGGAAAATTGAGGATGCTTATAATCGTCTCGACGTGGCGCAGACGACCACACAAGGATCGTGTGGTTGGGGAAGTGCCTCGAGTGACGCACAAGAACTTGGGGCGGGCGCGGCGATCGAGGAAAAATAAGAAAGAGAAAGGGAAGAAGAAAAGGAGGATGGATAACGTACAAAGTTAATCGCTTCCCATGCTTTGAGGTGGGTTGGTGAGGGTGATGGGCGATGGATGATTTTCTCCCACGCCTGAATGTGAGGTCGCGCGTCATCGAAATCCGCCGCGCTCCTTTTTTCAGTTTCTGCAGGCAGAGGCAAGCGCGAATCGAACTTGCGTTGCTGAATTGACCTGGATTGGCGAGTTGGAAGAGGCGGAATCGGATAAATGTATAAAATCACGTGAAGGAAAGGTCCCGCAGCCACGCCACACCACTGCAAGGAGCACCTTCCCAAACGTTTTGGCCACGCTTGCACCAACCAGAAGCCGCAAAATACCCTGGTCTTAGTCATCCTTCAGAGTCGAGGTTTACTTCACTATTTCGACAATATTCTTCTCGAGTCAATGTGACGATGGACCTTGAGATGGCAACGAGGGATCATGGAGACTCAAAAAGGAGGATCGCAAATCTACAACGAACCGAAGAATTGATCGACGGAGTAAAATTCAGCCTACTTTGTTTATTCTAGCCTCATCCCTATGGCAGCCTTAGTCGATTCTCAAGCGATCAATTTGAGTTGGAAATTGATGTTACTCTCCACAGGTAGAGAGACGGTGATCTCAAGCGAGTCAACGTGAATATTAAATTTAGAATTAAGTTTTCTGGGTTAGCAACCTTGCCTTCGAGAACTATGACCCTGGTGGTTCCTGGGGAAGATCGCGTGTGTTTCCACCCCAGTCAGCCCTACCAGGACGCCGGCGCCGCCACCAGGCGACAAACCAACTATGGGCCCTCGATCAGGCACAAGCTTATCAAAACCTTACTCCGAAGCAATCGTTGGTTCGCCCACATCAAGACCGATGAATATTGATATTTCCATGACCCCATTCGTTGATTTCGACTTGTTCAGCCAAACCAGGAGCGATTCCCCGCATTGCATTCCGAGATTGAACAAAAAAAAGAAAGCGAAAAGCCTCAATCCGAGCCCAAATCCCTCAATTTCAACCCAACCTTGGCCAGGAAGCCAGGCTGCTGGGGATAAAACAAGACTGCTGCAAATAGCCGGACACCCACCGCCAGAATCAACAGGGAGCATGATGACTGCATTCGCTCTTAAGGCTGCAGATCAACGATTAGCAGTGGTAGGACGAAGAACGGGGGCAGAAAAAACATGATGTCAACACGAAGTAGTGAGTCACATTGCCGAGTTGCTTCATTTAGTAAAAGTCCCTAGAAAAATCCACTGCCAAGAAGAGATCCTCTGGGATAGTGGACCCGGGACTGGGGGCCAAACTCAATGTTGCTTCTCTTGTTTCTGTCCCCATGACCCCTACGATCCAACAGTGCGTCTTTGGTCTCGTCAGGATGCGGGGTTCTTGGGTCCTTGGGTCCTTGGGTCCTTGGGTCCTTAGGTTCTTGACCACGGCATCACACACGTGCGTGTCTAGTGAATGTTCATGACGCACAAGCACGTAACCAAAGAAAGAAGCCCAGACACAATTCGCTTGGTTATCAACTTATCATCCAATTGAGAGTGTCTCCCTCCAGCCTCGGGCGTCCTCCACCTCTGGCTATCGCGCTATCTCGACTGGGGGTTCCAACGTGGATGGGTCCTAGGACTCCTAGGGCTGCCAAGCGTTAGGGAAAAGTCGGTCTCGAAGCTTCACGGAACAATCTTGCCGTCCAACACTAGTCTGACTGCAGCACGCTTGGCCCTATAACTGCTGCCTTGCGGACTTCATCCAATCCAAGGACGTCGCATCGAGCACCTGCATCTCCATTCCGGGGTTGGATTGGCCGGCAGGGCCGATAGTTCTCTTGGCTCTCCCCTCTCCTGGGGGAAAAAAGATGAGGGTCGGTTGTGTCTGTTGCTCCCAATTCATGTAAAGTAAAAGTGTCGGGTTGTTCAGGACCTCAATTGTCCAACATTCCGATCCCTTCGCGGCTCTCCGGCTCCCCGTCCACGTAGCTCTCCATTGAGATGACGAAATCGTTTCCATCTTGTATACTTCCTTCGTACGCGTAGCCTTGTCTATATAAACCAACATAGATTCTATCCCTTCCCCCCTCTCCATTTCCCATCCAACATACTGTACCCAAGCTACAAAGTTCTGTCTAATAAGCACGTTGCTGGCTTCTCATTTGCCATTTTTTTATCACTATCTTTCTGCTCGCGTCCCTCATCCGCAAGCACCCGGTGTGCAGAGTCGGCTGGTTAATAGAACTTCTTCCACCATCTAAACAATTAGTGGCCACGGCTTGAAGTCTTCGCCCTCTCACATTCCTTTTCTCTCTTTCCCGACGGTTTCCAATCGCCGGAAAATTTGCCCAGGCAGGCCAATTTACGGACAAATCTTACCCACCGGTCACCCGCCGAATTGAAATATATTCGCCATGTCGAGCTCAAGGGCACCACCTCCCGCACCTTTGAACCTCACCCAAAGCAGACAGTCTTTCGACTCTTCATACTCCGAGAGGGGCAGGGTAAGCCGCAAGTGCTCTTTTATTCGCAAAATATCTACATGTGGTCCACATGTAAACCTGCCAATCAAACCTACTAACTCGATCGGTTTCCAGTCGAGACACAGCTCCTTTGGTGATGCCAGCACCCTGGTAACCACCCCCAGCACTGCCGGCCTGGAGTCGCCGCATCACTCCAACCGGAAGCCTAACAACGTCAACGTTTACACGACGTGTGGCAGGCACACAGATGAATTCCTCTTCGGTGGGCCATCTCTTGGAGAGATGGCGCGGTCCCTCTTTGGTCGCAACCAGCGTTGACACGAACCCATCACCACACAACATTACGCACTCAGCCAAGACCACAGGCATCGAACCGAACCCACCCCGTCACTTGCAAACCAAGCGCGGCCTCTTCAACCCCACACAGGCCCAGCCATATATCTATATATGAATATCATCGAGATTGTTGCTTGCATCGATTTCTTGCAGATTCCCCACCCCAGCCCTAGAACAAGGCACATTCACCCTCTCTCTCTCACTTCGTTTAGAATGGAAGAACTAGTTGTCTCTGGAAAACGAGACTGAAAGGAGGATTGGGAAGTTGAAACGATTCATGAACTGATACCCCTCGCCGCCCGTTTATTTCATGTATATATATATTTTACAGTTTTACCTTGGGACGTGGAGAATAGAGTCCTGGGCTTCACTTTCATTCATGTTAGTCTTTTCGCCGGTCCTGAAGAAGATTGCAATGAGGTCACTTTACAGAGCAGTCGAGAATCAAAAATGTCTATCAAATGATTATTACATACAATATGGTTAAAGCCTCAAAGTTATATAATGAAGATGCATGCCACGTCTATTCCTCTCTCGGCCAACGCCCTTTATCACAACGCCATACTCCATAACCTATTCATCATTGGCAGCTCCAATAGTTTCTACCGCATTCTGCAGCAAGTTAATCTCGCCCGGTGCATTTTGCGTGTACCGCGAGTTAAACCTCAAGACAGACTTAGCAGCCCTATATGTCTTCGCGGAGACGTAAACCGGGTCCCGGACCACATTCCAAGCCACGCCTTCACTGCAGGGCGGCGTCGTCAGTGAACCGTTGTACTGGAAGACGTCGGATCCGCTGACGAGGTCTTCGATCTCGCCGGAGAAGAGGGGACCGGTCTCGCCGATGTCGCCGGCGTGGGGAATATCGTGGACATTCGAGAGGGCGTTGGTGAAGAAACGACTGGTTGGACCGTGAGAGGAGACGTCGATGAGGATACCGACTACGGAGAGGGATTGGTCTGGTTTGGTTTTTTAATCGAGATGATTAGCTGTTTTTGCGACGGTTTTCTTCTCCTCTCCTCAGGTCTCTGCAGGGACTCGCCAAGGCTTCGCTCTACGTCGGTCCATGCCTTCCACTAATGCCGCCTTTTTCACCCGCGTCGTGCCAAGAGCCAAGACATGGGAAGTCTACAACAACAACGACATGCGTGGGAATTGTGTAAGTGTAAGTGAGGACAACATTCTTTCAACCCACCTTCTGCCCTGAAAACAAAATGCGCCTCCATCGCGTACGTCTCGTCGTCGATTCTATGCTCCGAGGAAGTGTGGAAGTGGAATTGCACGAGATTATATGCCTTGCCATCGCGGTTGAGAGTGCCATTCGCGGGGACTTCGACGGTGGTGCCTAGGTTTTCGACCTCTGTTCCGAAGAAGTAACTGTCCAGCTCCAGAGATAGGCGCTCTCCCTTGACTACGGGTATGTTTCCCGCAGACGTGTCTATCGAGATGGGGGATTGGTGCGTGCCTTCGGCGCAGGCAATGTTGTCTGCCGATAGACCATGCCAGTTCAGCGGGCCTTGGAGACCTGTATATCCGAAAGAAGGCGGAGTGAATTCGCTACGGGCATGGAGACTCGGATCGCGGTAACAGAGTGCCGAGGCGAGAGGTGCCAGGCTACTGATGATGGCAAGACTTTTCATCGTGGAAGGCTGCGCGAAGGTCCTAAATGCTCAACCTGAGAAGAAGAGGGAAGCAACTCTGTCAGTACATCTAAGCAGAGTTATAAATATTCAAATGAATATCGAGATTAGGACTTGTTCGCACTCTCGAGACTCAATCGGGCATAGGGGGGGAGGATGGACGGACAACCGGATCCTTCGTACAAGTGCGACGGCTGGAGACATCCGTCACATGCGACCATCGTGACTTTATCTTAGTTTATATACAGGGGGTGGCTGAGAGACCGACAGGCACCACCTGGAGAACTCAATTACCAGGGTATCCTACATGAGTGATATAATGACCATCGGGTGGAGTTGAAAATCCCCCCTTCTATATATTCCCACGCCGCCGACACGTCTACTGCTGATGCAAGGAATTGGGAAGACTAGCTTACTTCTTTCTGCGCGCTCGGTTCGCTTCCTGCATCTGGCTTCAATACAACTGCGTACTAGAAATCAAGAATCCCACGATACCGTTATGGGTCCGGGTAAGTCGGCTTGTCTCGTCAAATAGGCCACTTCTGTTGGAGGACGCTGCCGAACACGAGATGGCTCCTTGAGTTATAATGCAGCTTGACTGTAAGATCTAGAAGAGAACATGCAGAAAAGAGGCGAGCTGATACCGAACGAAAGTTATCAACGAAGTACGAGGCAAGGTATTGCGTCGTGCGGGAAACCTCCAAACGTCCCCGTCCAAGCCCTTTTTGTCTTGCACCCTTGTTGTTAATGGGTCCTGCCGGTTCACGGCGGACACAGGGAGGGCATGTTGGACGATCGAAATATTGTTGACAATGGGGAAATTTATTGGGAAACAGGAGCTGAGCAGCCTCGAGTGGTCATGATCAGCCAATTATTCTCATAACCTGGCCTAATTGGGCAATTTAACAGACTTTAAGCTCTGTGCTAACTGGTTGGAAGACCCCGGTTTGACGATCCTCATTTTCCTCCTGTCCACATCTGATAAGGCTATTCGAGACATATTGGAGTAAAACAAATGACTCAAGAAGGATAGGTCTTTTAACATGGCCTCCTATAGAGTATGTCAAACACAGGTACCGAGGTACGAAGTACACAAGTCTTAATTATTTCTATTCTCAAGTTTGAGACCTTAGTCAAGATAGATCGAATCAACGGAAGGCTATATCGTTCACCAAGGGGCCTTAATCATGTCATTTGTGGATCCTTGAGAAATGGGAAAAACGAGTCCGGCTCGTGGTGTTTCTCGCAGAACAAACTAGCAAGCTGGTTAAAACTGCTTTCGGCTTCATTCATCTGGTGGCCTCTGCGAGGCATTTAACGGGCTGGTTTGGTCGACACACCAGTGCCACGCCGGCTATCATCGAACCTTCTCGAGCAGTTGAGTCAAGCTCCCTTCGATTCTCTATTCCGATCCGGCATTGTTTTTACATGATATTCTTGGGTTGGAACACGTGGCACTGCTCTCCAGCCCCAGTCATAGCAAAGCTCTCGCTGGAGATCCGGACAACGCCGCTTGCTGATCCGCCGTCCTCCCCATCGGCTTACCGTACCCTATGTTCAGAACGGATGAGTCGTTGATCGGATCAAGGGAATGTCTAACGAATTAAGCACCATACCGAGACCAGAACCTCCAAACTCGGGCAGTGAGAGGATACCCGGCTTGGTCAAGATATGGAACTTCGAGCTTGACGAGGTGCTCGCTTCCGCTATTTTTTGCAAGCCCGGGAGGACGCACGCATGTGTTGTTACTTCTGAATGCTCAGCAAGGCTTGAAGGACACTGGCAGCAATTTAACGCCCAATTGGCAGAATGCCTCGAAGTCAGTGTGACTACGACATACGTGTTGTGTGTGCTGGCCCGTATGCCGAGCGTCCTCCATTCCGCTGTCATCACGAGAGTGGATGTATCCGCTAGGGCGAGCTTGCTAAGATACGAATCGAACCAGAAAGGTGTAAGGAATCGCGTCTATTGACCCAGACTGTTACAACTTAAACAAGAGAAGAAAATGTGATGTGTCTCAGCTTCGTGATCCATAGGGTCGGATCAAATCCGCCCATCCTCCCCAAGGAACGCGTAAGTGTCCGGAGATAGCTAGACCGCCAAGATGACTCTCTTTACGAAGTAGATTATTCTCTTTTGGAACTTCCATCAAACTGACGTATTCCCTCGTCTGCTTTCAGTATCCCCCAGCCAAACGGACTCCGCGGAAGCTCCCTAGATTCCAAAATCCGTTCGGGGTGGATAGAAAAGCAACTCGCGGGTCACGCAATAGGGCTTATCCTACGAAAATCTAACCAACTCCTCATACGACTCAAACTTTATCTCCGGAAGAAGCCACCGTGTATCTGTTTTGGGACAGACCTTGAGACAAAATCTCCATCGTGCGGGTGTGCAAGTGGGCATTTCCGAGAGTCATAAAGTCCGAGAGAGTCCAAGCGATCCATCATAGAGGTTACAAAACATCAAAAACGCCACAAGCGCTTAAGGTTTTGCCCTTTCCCCGACGAGGAGTTCCGTCGAGTTGGCTGCCAGCCCCCACTCAGCGATCCGGGAAGCCATTGATGCACATAAACAACGGATGTTCGACGGGAAGCATTCCCCTCCCAATTCGCTGAGATGGGGCCCACCTATTCCCAGGTATCACAGGAGGCGCTTTTCGGGATACACATGTTCGGAATGGGGCTGATCTGTGTAGATATCTCATGGGTTAAAATACGCGTAATGCATGGGGGTCAGGAATGCTGGAGCTTAGCTCCGGAGTCGACCGGAACGGTGTCGGCGGGGTGCCGCGCTGATGTGTAAGGTTCCGCCGTTCACGAGATACCTGACCGGAGCCGCCTGAGATGGTCCCGCGGATGCAAAGGGTTCGAATTTTATCAATGGATGATTGATGGACTCTAGCAGCAAGGCCACTGCGAATACGAAGCTGAGAAATGTCTGTTGCCTCTACGCAAGTCTTGCCTGTCATGTGGTGAGATTCCGGCGAGGGAGCCCTCAACACGAGGCAAGCAAAAAAAGGCTCAAACCCAGATTTGGAAAGGATCAGAGGAGCCCTCGAACCGGCTTTTTAGTCATATTTATTTTCTTCTTAAGGTAGGGCGGGGGAGGAGGAATGCGCACACCATGGCAGCAGAGCTCTATGAGCCAAGATCCTGGGCCAGGCGGCGGACGGCAGGCAAGGAGAGGGGTTTTTGATGTGCTCAAACTCGCCAGTTTCGTGGTTCGGATGCAGGGAGGCAGATACGGGTCCCCGAACGTAGCAGGATGAGCAGACGGCAGGACAATATAAATTAACAAAAGGAAAAAAAAGCACAAAACAAAAAAGGTATCGAGGCAGGCAGTTGTGTTTGTTTATTGGGAGTAATGTAGGGTCTAGGGTCTTGGGGCACGAGGCGTGACCTTCATGCAGTTTTAGATGGCATGTTCCAATGAAGAGAAGCACGAATGGGATGATTGTAAATGGGGACCCTCGAGCACCGAGCCGAAGACCTGCAAGCTTTGGTCACGATGCAACATCCGGTAGAGTACGGGCTGCAGGGTTATGCAAGGTAGGAGGTGTGGGGGCTCGAAGAGGACATGTTAGTCTACGCACACATCGTAGAAGAGAGTCGAATCTCGAAAATAGATGAAAGAAGACTCGTGTGTGTTTACCGTCTTCTCCTGCCCTCTTACAGTGTCGTGCTCTCTGGTCTCTGTGACCTCCATCGTCAACATCTCAACATCAACGCAGCCTGCCGTCTCAGAACAAGGATGGTGAGATCCCCTGCAGTTTGGAAGACTCTTTTGGCCTCATGCGTGCGTTTATTAATCTCTGGCCGCAGAAATGTGGGAGCCTATTTCACACGCGATACTCATCGTTGGGAAGTAACAAGAGAAACAACGGGCCGAGCAGTTTAAGGCTCATGGCGGGGAGCTTCCTCTTTCCCTTTCCTTACAGCTTGGCTAAGAGCCTCTAACTTCTGCACGCCCGTGAGCCGCTTCCGTTTATAGAATGACCAGGCTACCGTTCCGGACCAATGTAACGGGCTCTCTTAACCCCAACGTTCTTTAACTCCCGCACGCGGTACCACTTGAGAGGGTGGTGACTAGACCGCCCTGTAGGATTGGGGGCTACCTGTGTACGGAGTAGTTCAGACTGCCGGGCTGTCGTTGCCTGCTGAAGGTTACTCGGGGAGAGAGATCAATCAGCTTACTTGTATCATTGTCTGGACACCACCGCTTTGACCCTGGGGATCAAGGGCGGACATTCAGTCTTCACAACGACCATGGTAAGTTGTGCATTTCGGAAGAACATCATGGCCGCCACTGTTTTAAGTTTGACGCCCCTATATACTGCAGACAATAATGGATAGGAATCGGTGTTTGGGCAGAGCCTTCTTTCTCCTTGATGTTTCCCCGCTCAACTCTTGTTTCTGTGCTTTTGTCCCAACCCGACATGAGAGCATCCGCGACCACGGTGCCTCAAGGTTTAAATGCAGGATGTAGTGTCAGTCGGGTCTCGCTGACGATCTACGAAATATATATATATACATAGACTAAGCATCACGCTGCTTGGTAGCTGATTTGCCAATCGGCCGATTGGTGGTAGACAACGGGCTCACCCAAAGTTTGCAGCATTTTCCGGGTCGCGGGTGGGAGCTCGTAGTAAGGTGTCCTATATTTGCCTGCAGAAGCGAGATTGCTCCACATTCCGCCGGCGATCTATGCTTGGGGGAAGGGACAGTTTGCTGAGGCTGGACCATGAGAGCTCTTGGTTCGTGTTCAGTTCGAAGGTTCATGTTTCTGATGAGAATGGGGACAGGTACTAGAGTGACAAGGAGTCTTCTCGACGCTGGCGTGAGAAGAAGTTCACGGAAGACTTGGGGACATACGTAGTAGGCTGGTATGTAGTTTAGCAACAAGCGGCTCCATGAACCATACTCCGTACTTCATCAGGCTTTGTTCAGTGAATGAAGTTGATCCAGGATGCTCAATGCATCGCGGGTGGCCCGACCAGGGAT